AAGATGTCTTTGGCTATTCAGTCTCTTTGACTCTATATAAATTTTAGGAATATTTGTTCTAGTTCTGTGAAAAATGCCATTGGAATTTTGATAGGGATTATTTGAATCGGTAGATCCCTTTGGGTAGAACGGACACTTTAACAATATCAATTCTTCCAATCCATGAGTATGGGCTATCTTCCTACTTATTTGTGCCTTCTTCAATTTCTTTCATCAATCTTGCATTGGTGGTATAGTGGTTAGCATAGCTACCTTCCAATTTCTTTCATCAATCTCATATAGTTTTCAGTGTACAGGTCTCTTATCTTCTGGGTTAAATTTATTCCTAGGTATCTTATTCTTTTTGATGCAGTTGGAAAGGAGACATTTTTCTTATTTTTTCTTTCTGAGAGTTCATTATTAGTGTATAGAAAGATGACAGATTTCTGTGTATTGATTTTGTATCCTACAATATTAGTGAACTCATTTTTTAGTTCCAACCACCAACTTCTTTATCTTGAGTGTACATGTGAAGGTTGTGTGTTGGGGGAGGTGCAGCGTGTGAGGAAGGAAAGGAAAAGAATTACTCCCATTAGGAACTGGGGAGCGAAAAACTGCCAGGAGGAAAAATTAAAGGGGACTTTCAAAATACAGTGAATTGGAGACTAAAAGGAAAGAATGGTTTGTGTTTTCATTCGGTAAGTATTTAATGGTTTAAACATTGTACAAGGACACTGTGTGCACATTTACTGAACTTAAATCCTAATGGGAAAGAACAAACAAATAAAATTACAATTTATTTTTATGGATAAGCAGAAATGAGAAGGCCTTACTCATAGTGATGGAGATTGGTGGTAGGTCGCAGGGGATAGATTTGGAGTCCTTATGCATAAGATGAAGTTAACATGTGAAGAGCAGTAGGATAGATACTTCCAGCAAGATACTTCCAGCCATGAGGCAAGCAAGAGCTTTGTGTATGTGTGGAACTGAAAGTTCAGTTTTAGTGAACACAGAAAGAGTGGCCCATGATGAGTTGGTGAGCTGATGGGACCAGACCACAGATGACATTATAGATCATAGTCATGGTTACATATTTGGCTTCGTCTCTAATGAAATGGGAAGGCACTGCACGGTTCTAAGTAAGGGAGTGGTATGATGCATTTATGTGTTAAAAATATCCCTCTGGTTGCCGTATGCAGAATACACTGGAATAAAGCAAGAATGGAAATTGAGAGATTAGAAAGGAAATGCTTCCAAGGTATTTTGAATGAAAGATTGATGGTGGCTCAGATGGGAGTTTGGGGAATTCGAGAAGGGAATAGACTTGAAAGCAGATATGACAGGACTTGCTGATGAACTGGATGTGAGAGAATCTGCTTAATTTTGGTTTTGAAGCTGCCGGTTGCATTTACTGAAATGGGAACTTAGTCAGATAAAGAATTTGGAATTAACCGTGTCAAGTTCCAGGGAGAAATATAAAGGTGAGTCCAGTAGGAAGTTAGATATGCGAGCCTGGGGCTCAGAGGAGAGGTCTGGAAACATATTTGGAAGTTCTCAGCCTGCAGATGATTTACAGCCATAGGAATGGATGCAACCATGAAGGAGAGGGTCAATAAAAGAAATGTCCAGTGCTGCGAACCTCAATGTAGAGCAGCTTCAACATACAGCAAAGGAACATAATGGGCAACATCTCCAGCCTTTTCCAGAAGAGGAATACAGATTAAAGAAGAAGGAGCATTCCACAAAGGAGAGGCTGATTACATATGTCGCATATGGCTAAGAGGTCAAATGAACACAATGAAGGCAAAAGTGACCACTGGTTTAGTAATATGGCGGGCGGTGGTGAGATAGTCAATGGATTAGGTCTAGGGTGGATGGAAGTCAGAGGGAGTGGAAAAAATATCCACCGTTTGTTTTTTTTTTTTTAGAGAAATTTAGCTTAGAAGGAAACCTAAAAATGGCGTGGTTCTTCTACTCCCATGTTTATCAGTTTATTTGTCTTAAGCAATTCCTGCATGTATTACTTTCTTGTAGCTAGTCTGAGAAATTTCCACAAACTTGGCAACTTAAAACAACACAAAATTATCCTTTGATTGTTCTGAGGGCCAGAAGTCTGAAGTCAGTTTCACTGGGCCCAAATCAAGGTATTGGCATTTCGTGCTCCCTCTGGAGACTCCAGGGAAGAGTCTATTCCTTGTCTCTTCTATCTTCAGGTGGCAGCTGGCATTCTTTGGTTTGTGGCCTCGTCACTTGTCTCTGCCTCCATGGGCACATTGCTGTTCTCCTCTTCTCTATGTGTCAACTCTCCTTCTGCCTCTTTCTCATAAGGATACTTGTGATTGCATTATTTCAAGAGGATTGCCCCATCTCAAGATGCCTAACTTAATCATATCTGCAAAGACGACTTGGTTTCCTTAGAGGTGACATGTACAGGTTCCACGTACCTTTCAGGGCCATTATTTGGCTTACTATACTGTCCGACGTCACTAACGCATTCCTGAGATTCTGAAGTTATTTGTAGAGTTGATGATTTGTAAGTTTATCACACTTTTTATTCTGAGATTTCTTGTGATTTAGAAGCCTCTACTAAAATATTTAAATGTAATATGAAATGTAATATAAATATTAAATGTAATATTAAATGTCTTTTTCATAGACAAATCATGATTATTAACTTCTAATTAATATTTGAGACAATATATAAACATAACTTTCAAAAATGATTTCAACTAACAGCTAACAACGGGAATGGGCTTTTCTTATTAACATTGCCACTGTTGGGGGGGGGTCAATCTTTATGAATTCTAAATAAATAAGAAGTGAATGATTAAAGTGAGTGAGACAGACACACAATACCGTGTGACTGTGTTGATCTCGGTGGTTCCAAATTTATTCCTACAGACATTATTCAAGACGAAAAACTAAATTATTTTAGCCTTAGGTAATTTAATAAAATAATTTATGTGCGAACATCA